TTGAAGTTACTACTACTTATCTTCAGCCAAACTTAACATTTCCACTGTTGTGACTGAATTGCACTCTCTTTTATTTATCTGTAAGCAAAGGAAAAGGTATTGTCACTGTTCAAGAAAATCCGGAGCTTCTGAACAGCATCTGGCTTCTGTTCCTTTGTGTAAAATTTTATAGGAAGTCTCAGAAGTGGTGTATACTTGAAAAAATTTGGACAGAAAGAATACTTGGGTGAACCCAGAATATCTGTAACTAATAGATGAAATACAGATAATGTAACCTTTACTTTACAACTGATGGATATGACTGCTTTGCTGTGTCTACTGAGTCACAGAAGCAGAAAAATCTTTTCTTCTCTACTTAGATCACAGTTCACTGAGTGTGCACTGTCAGTGTTCATGACATAGTGAATTTCCTTTTGGAAATTCTTGGGAACAATGAATAGAATTATTTTTTTTTTTAATTAATACAATCCATTGCCCTTCCTTTAGGACTCCTAGGCCTTCTGTGTAGTCTCACAGTCAATTGAAGCTTCACTGTGGTTGAAAGAGGCAGTTCTGCCTCCGTCTAGCTCCTTTCTGTATGCTGGTATGTGTTTGTGGCTGCATGGTAAGCTGGATAAGGGAATCAATTCAGTTAAAAAAAAAAATTACCCACCCTGTTAGTTACTTTTTAAACTGGGTGGGTTCCACTATCTTTGCCAAACAGCACAAGAATGAAAAAATGGTTAGGGGAGGTAGCACCACTTCTGTAAAGCTGTTGTGAGACTGGGGTGTTAATCTGCTTTCTGTCATGCTTTATCTGTACTTGCAGTTTTCTTTAAAAAAGAAAAAACAAACAAACAAAAAACCACAGACCCCCCCCAAAACAAACAAAAAAAAACCCCAAACACCACAAACAAGAAAACTACCACCTCACTAGGTTCAGCTGCGTCTTCGTAATCATTTATCTACGCTGTAGACGTTAAGATACTTGATCCTGTCACTTGCATGTGTGTATTCTGTTTTTTCTGTAGTATTTTCCTATGACTTAAGATTTTCACAGGCATGGTTGATGGATTAATGCAATATAAAGTGATAGCTATATGGTGTATGGGAAACAAATATTTTTCTGACATTTTATTATAAAGATCATTACCACTTTGCTGGTTTTTGCAATTTCAGCTCCCAAACTACAAAAACTTCAAAGGAACCATTCAGGAACTTGGTCAAAACCAGTATGTAGTTAGTGGTGAAATATTTGTGGTGGACAGGAACACAGTAGAAATTACAGAGCTTCCTGTAAGGACATGGACCCAGGTAAGTAACAATGAAATACATTTACATAAAAACCAAAACCAATGAAAAGTTCCATATTAAATTATTTAATCCTACATCCCAATGAACTTTTAACACAATTTCTGATGATTATACAGACATGGAAGGGAATATAGTTTCATTCTTTTGTGTGCCTTTGTAGAAGATGGTTTTCTACTTGTGCCATCTCCATCCATCCTACAAGAATACCTGCTTCTGATGAATTAATATTTAATCCCCTTTTTCTTTTGGGTAGACTTTTCTGTCCTTGTTGGATGCCTCTTATGTTTGTGCTAGTCTTGGCCTGCATTTTGCAGGTTATACTGGTTCTGTAAATTATAACTGGTGTCAGATGTAATGCACAAAGCTTTGAAGCCTTACGTTGTTCATTGGTTTCAGGAATTTAGAGATCTTAAGAAGTGTTTCTGGTTTTTGCTACCCTATTTTTAATAGGTGTACAAAGAACAGGTTCTAGAACCTATGTTGAATGGGACTGAGAAAACTCCAGCATTAATTTCTGACTATAAGGAATACCACACTGATACCACTGTGAAATTTGTTGTGAAGATGACAGAAGAAAAACTTGCACAGGCAGAAGCTGCTGGATTGCACAAAGTCTTCAAGCTTCAAACAAGTCTTACGTGTAATTCTATGGTAACTTTTTCATGTTTGACTCTCAGAATCCTTACTGTTGCTTGTTGTAAATCAAATATTTATGTAGTATGCTTTGGTGCTTGGTGTTAGTAACAGTGTATTATGTATTTGAAATTGTTTGAGTAGTAGAACATCGTGGTGATGACAAATATTAAGTCAGTATGGATCAGCAAATCCATTTCAGTCCTGGTGAGTGTTTCAAACCAGATTAGACAGGCTCGGGATGGTTAGTTTCCTGTAACTGAAAATTACCTGTGCAGCTAAACAAAAATGGTTAAAGTAGATCATACAAATAAATTTCTGGTGTATTATAATTACATTTGAGTTTTAAACTTGAGGTAAGTTATGTTTTCAAAATTGCACTTTATGCAGGACTATTAGTCCTCTAATAGGAGTTAAATGATCCAATGTTCCCACCAACATAAATCCCATTTTAGGTTGTAAGGTATAGAAAACACTGTCCTTAAGCTGCTGAAGACATAATAGTGATGTAAATTACTCCTATGGTTTATTCTGCTTGTAGCAAGATGGGAGTAAGAACATGAGTAAATACATGTCTGTCTATTATGAGAAGGATTTGAAATGCAAGATAATTTCTGCCAGAATATTTCTGAACAACCTGCCTTTACAGAGACAGAAGAAACAGTTCTATTTTTTTAATGGTGGATACGACTTTCAGATATTATCATAAAGCAAAAATACCATTACCGTTGCTATTATTGTATAAATCAAAAGCTATGTGAAAGTAAGTTAAAAATAAATTAAAGACCATAGAATTGGAAGAGGGAAAAGGCCTTGCTCACATTTTGTAGATGGTGCTTGAAAAGTGAATCTACTAAATCAAGATGATAGTATTTCTCACAGGTTTGAATGACCATATGAACTACTGTGAGAATCTATCTTAAAATTAATATTTAACAGATTACAAAATGTTTTGCAGCTTAATCCTGCATTTTCTGCCTACTGAAATAAATAGTAAGGGCTGCTTTCTGTGTATGTGTAGGAATTGATCTGCCCTAGTGTAAGCATCTTAAAAAGTTATGCGAGCTAGTCATTGTTCACCCAGCTCCCAAACAGGTATTTTAGCTAGATGAGTTGCCCTCTACAGGGGCTTATTTCTTTCAGTTGACTATAAGAGGGTGCCTATGGTGACTAGTTCACCTATAAATGTCTAAACTGGAGATGTCAGAAATCAGGCAGGATTGATTCCATCTATGATATAAAAATGATTTCTTACTTTGTTTGTGCTTGAACTTGAAGGATGGCAGTTTTCACAGCTGAAAAGTGGCAGATTTCACAGCTGAACTGAAAGATTATTAAAAATGCTTTTCAACTGTTATGTTAAATAGTTGCGAATCATTAGGTACTACTGAACTTGTGCTTTAATATTTAGATAAAATTAGTCATTTGACTGAATTCAGGCATATTTCTTTATATAGTTGCTTTCCTGTTTGAACATGTTACCATAAATCTCATCTTAAATCTACTTGTGAATAAAAATAAAATCTATCCAGCTGTGTGCTGTGTAGTTCTATAGTAAGGTTAGAGTTCACAGTCTTCAAAGTACCACATTTTGTATGGTGCATATATATGTGCAACAGAAATAAACTTGTACACAAAGGTTAACAAAGTTTGAGTTATGCAGTCTCACTCAAGCAGCATATTATGTATTTTATAGGTGCTATTTGATCATATGGGATGTTTAAAGAAGTATGAAACTGTGCAAGACATCTTGAAGGAGTTCTTCGATTTGCGATTACATTATTATAGTTTACGCAAGGAATGGCTTGTAGGAATGTTGGGTGCAGAATCTACCAAGCTTAACAATCAAGCTCGTTTCGTTCTAGAGAAGATACAAGGAAAAATTACCATAGGTAAGTAAATGTAAGTTAGAATTGGTAACAGTGGGGGAAAATCTGGAAATTATTTAAATGTAGTAGAATGTACTTGTATGCAAGACATTTATTTTCATGACACTGATTTCTTTTTTTTTCTTTTTTTTTTTTTTCCCCCCTGGTTGTGTGTGTGTGTCTTGTAGAGAATAGATCAAAAAAAGATTTGATTCAGATGTTGGTCCAGAGAGGTTATGAATCTGATCCAGTGAAAGCCTGGAAAGAAGCACAGGAAAAGGTAATAATCTGAAATCTTTGGATATATTTGATGCTGTTAATGTTATAAATGATATTAATTTATTCAGATGTTTGTTTTCTGGTAGTCTAACTTAATTTATAACACACATAACACTTTAAAAAGATTATTCATTACTTTTTATTGGCTTCCTTTAAAAAAAAATACATTAAACTTATACAAAAATATTGTCACGTAATATTGGTATCATATATGGATAATTCTTAGAAGAAAGCTAGACAATACCAGTCTGAAAATGAGAATGCAGAGGACTGAATTTCTTAATATACCCAACTCAAAACTGGCAACTTGATTTCTGACTGGCTGATATATAAAATGCTGCATCAGTTACCCCACATATTCAACTGATTTTCCTTTATTTGTCATATGATTGCAAAATGTAATTATTATGTATAACTTAGTCATCAGTTTTCTGTAATGAAACATGAATATTATAAAGCTATGACTGTTGAACTTACTTTAATAAATTTGACCTTGACTTATATTTATTTCTGCTTTTTTAAAACCCAAGAGGTTTTTTTATTGTTCCAAAAGACATATGTGACAAGTTCGATTTCATGCTTTACTATGGGAAGATGAAACTACTTTGAAAGGCAACTTTAAATTTATGTCAGCCACCCCTTTTCTGTGCCATTGTCACTGCTTTTGCTAGTTGTTTTCATTTTTCATTTGATTTGCTTCGCTTTTTTTTACTACTGTATTTTAACTCCATGCAGTCTGTTGTATTTTATAACAAAATTATTATTATGAGAATTTTTTATCCACTTCCAAACCACAGTTTATACATTCAGGGCTTTGATAGCAGTTTTTATCCAAAAGACTGTGCTCATTTCTAAGAAACAGCTATATGTGAATATCCCAAGGGCAAAGATCTCAACCCTGTGAGACAGCTAGGACAGTACCAATATCTGTAGCCAACAGCATACAAGGCATATGGCTACCATTGGGTTCAGAATTGTTTTCTTAAATCAAATTATTAAATAATCAAACTATAGAAGGTCACAGGAGCGTGGCCTTTCAGAAGGGTCCAGAAAAACGTTAAGGTCATTGAATCTGTGGGGGCACACCTGACTCTACTCTATAATGGGGCTTTGGAGCAGTGTTACATTTCATGCATAGAGCTAAGATTATTAATACTTACAATTGTGAATATTTCACTTTAGGCAGCAGAAGAGGAGGACCCACAGAACCCAAACGATGATGCTTCCTCTGCTTCTGGCTCAACTTCTGGCCCTGACTTCAACTATATCTTAAACATGTCTCTGTGGTCACTCACAAAAGAGAAAGTAGAAGAGTTAATTAAGCAGAGAGATTCAAAGGTTGGTACACCGTGGAGGGTTTTGTGATAGTATTTACTTTAGTTGTAACTTAGTAATTTACATTCTATGTACTACTTTCATGTTTTAGGAGAGAGATCTAAATGACCTTAAAAGGAAATCTCCTTCAGATCTCTGGAAAGAAGATTTAGCGGCCTTTGTTGAAGAGCTTGAAGTATGTTTTATTTTACATGTCTTTCTAAAAATATTAAATTTAAATTAATTTAATGAAAACATTAATTAAACATATTAAAATTTAAGCATATATAATTAAAAATACCTCATTTTGGATTAAAAGCATAGACCTCCAGATATAGTGATAAATGGGAAATCAATATTGGATATTCTTGTTCCTAGTGTGTTCCTCAGGGATTGTCTCTTGCATTTATACAATTTAATGTTTTTTTCCAAGTCAGTGATGATAAGAAAAGTTACCACGAGAAAATTTGGTTTCAGATGACACAAAAACTGGGAGTAGTAACTGGTAATAGTAATAATTATTGGTTGAGAGGCAATAAGTATTGCCAAATGCAAAGCTGTACATTTAAGAACGAAGTGTGTAGGCTATAAATACTATATGAGGGGCTCCTACATTGCCTCATCAGTTAACTCTGGAAAAAGGTAAAGTCCTATTGGTGAATAACTTGCTGAGCCTCAGCTTTCAATGTTGCCTGAAAATGGCTGATGTAATCTTTTGAAGTGACACAGGATAATACCAATAAGATGTTTGGTTTATTTTTCTTGGTACAGCTGCAATTGGAAGTGTTCTGTTCTCTGATATCTATATTTTCAGCTATATGTTTGTACTGTGAAAAAAGCTGACTAAAGGACTGTAAAATGTTCCTTAAAAATGACTGTAGAAACTAGCTGTTTAGATTAAATGCTGAAATACTGAAAAGTTACATCAGTACCCAGCCACATCCATGAGAAATAGAAATTTGGTGACAGAAAGATTTTCAGTCTAGTAGTGTCCAAAAGTTTGTATTTACTTAATCACTAATAAAAGTGTAATTTTTAACTGTAAAGGGTAATAAGGAATTTACCAAGATTAAGTGGTTGGTTTTCCATTACTGGAAAGTGTGTTACAATTCAAGTGAGAATTAAGGGAAGTCTTAGGCTCTGTTTAAAAAGGAGATGAATCTTAAATGATCACCGTGTTCTACTTAGTCCTCCTTAAAAGATAAAGTGTTCCCCCTACCCTGTCCCCCCTTGTTTGTTAGAAAGTAGAAGCACAGGAAAGAGAAGATGTTTTGGCTGGCATGGTTGGCAAACCAATAAAAGGCAAAGTTGGTAAACCCAAGATGAAGAAACTTCAGCTGGAAGAGACCATGCCATCACCATTTGGCAGAAGAATAGTTCCACAGATCACATCTGCCATGAAAGCTGATGCCAGTAGGAAATTGCTGAAAAAGAAAAAGGTAAATCAAAACTAAGTTAGATTATTTATTATTTAACTGCTATGTTTTTCTACTCTGGTGGCATAAATCCAAACCACCAGACCTCATTAATGCTCTATTTATATTGTTTTGCTGACGTAATGCATGAAGAAGTTAATACTGGATTCCTTTTACGTTTGCAAGCCTCTTGTGACTACTTATTGTTCAGGTTTTTTAATTGAGATTTGTTCTTTCCAAGACTGTGCAACAAAGAACAATGTATTAGTCTACTTTCATTTATTATCTTCTACAAAACTATTCCAGTTCTATCTTGAAATATAAAGGTGTAATTTATTTTATTTTGCCCAACTTTTTCAATATTTTTAGGGTGAAACTGATTCTCTAGCAATAAAAATGGAATTTGATGAAGAATTTGGTGGTGTGCCAGCTGAGGGTGGTGGGGATGACTCACTGAATACATCAGCCACAGCAACTAAAACCCCTAAGCCTAAGAGAGAGAAGAAGGAGCCTGGTAAGATCCTTACGCAGTCAGAGTTAACCTTAGTTGTGTATACTAATTGAGCTGAACATTAAATATATTTTTAACAAAGAGGGAGAAGGGAAATATACCACAATAATCACTATTTCATCTGATTTTATTCCCTGAAGAGATGTGTGGAAACACTTGAAAGTACTCTACTGAAATTTCTGTTATGTAAGCTGCTTTTCTGGAGGTGGTGGATCTTATATTTTCTACATTCGATGTTTTTGAGGGGGTCTAAATCTTTGAAGTTTTGAGTAAAAAAAAAATTTCACATAATTAGACTAATTCTGTGCAAACTGAAGTTAATAGTTTGCATGCTCTCTGATGCTGAAGGACATGGCACTCACCTTCACTCTGAGTAATAATATAGACTGTAAAATTTGGTTAAGTAAATATATTTTCCTTTTGGCATATTCAGTCGTTCAGACTTTGAAAGTTATGCATGTTATGGCTTGGCAGACTAACCAATGTCTATGTTAGCTTTCCTTTTTCCTCTGCTGGGAGGAATTTATTGATACTGTTTGAGAAATACATAGTAATGTTGGGGCAGCAACAAAAAAGAAAGCTAAAGACAGAAAGTTTAAGTATGAGGTTTTAAAAAAAAGAGTGTTAAAAATGGTTACGCAAATACTTCTTCTGAGATAAGATCTGTTTTTAATAATCCAGGGGATTCTCCAACCTGAACAGATTGAGTACAGCTATGACTGAGTTGTCTACATGCAGCTCAAATCTACCCTAGCTGATGTTGAGCACTTGACCTGAGCTTGCCCTGCAATTGACTGACTGCATTGTTACCCCCAATATGGTATCCTCTGCTTCCTATGTTAATTGGATTTTTCCAATAACTGTTCCTGATCATGTTCCCTGAATAATGGAAAACTGCTTGTTCTTTTCCTGGAAAACCCCAGCAACCTTTAAAAAAATGGAAGCTTGACTGCAGAGGAGCTAAAACTTAAAATGAGTGACTTCTAGGTTTTTCAGTCATAAATCAAATTTGTTTGACAGCAGTGGGTCAGGTTCTGTGTGAAATTATTTAATCACATTAATTTATTCTTCAGGAAGGAGAAGAAAATTTACAACATTTAAAGGAGAACTTTTAGCATAAAATTTATGCATCATAAACAATTAGAAAATATGAAAATATTTTTTGCCCTGACTGTAGTAAATGCTTTAACTTTTGTGGCAGGTACTAGGGTAAGAAGAACACCATCATCTACAAAGTCCGGTGCAAAAAAAGTGAAGAAACGAAACCCATGGTCAGATGATGAATCCAAGTCTGAAAGTGATTTAGAGGAGAATGAGCCTGTGATTATTCCAAGAGACTCTCTGCTTAGGAGAGCTGCAGGTACCCAACCTTTTGTGAATTATGACTGAAAGTTTCAACTACAAACCTACATTTTTTCCTTTGACCTTCCTGTAGGACTTTATTTTCTACAGATAACTTGCATTATATTTTCTTCACGGTTAGTGTGGTTAGTGAAAAAACTCTTAATTTCAAGACCAGGAACTTAAGAGTTGACATGAAAGATTTTGTAACTTGGTCCAGAAGTCTTTTCGCTGATTCTAAACACTAGAGTAGAAATTACTCAGAAAACTAGTGAATTATACAAGGAATAGAGAAGATAATTCCCATTGTTGTGAAATCGTAAATGTAAAACCATTACAAACAAAAAAATTACTCTAATGTAATTATACTGTCAAATAAGGCCCAAAAGCTCAAATGGATAGTAAAAATTTAGCAAAAAATTTCTGAACAGTCCATGAAAAGCAAAAATATCAGAGGCTGAAAGTCTGGCAAATATATAAATATTTGATAGTTTAGGAGAAACACAGATTTTTCTGGAAAATTGTTGTTCAGTTTTTCAAGCCCTTGATTTGGAAGAATGTTCAAACGATAGATTCAAGAAAACTTCAATTGTAAGTGAAGGATTTTCATTCCTTAAAAGTACTTACGCAGTTATGTCTCCATAATGCCATTAGCTAAAGGTATCTGAGCAAGCCATAAGTGGTGTTAGATGTTTGCTAACATTTTAAATTATTCAAATGGTTTAAATTATTCTTCTTCCAGACTCAAACAAGTTTCTTTTTCCTCATTCTTTTGTCTTGTATACTCTGAGGCAGGGATTACTTAGTGACTTCCACTTTAATTTATTTATAACATAAACAACTATCTTGAAATGTGTGTATGTGTTGTTTTTTCTTTAGCTGAGAGGCCCAAGTATACTTTTGACTTCTCGGAAGAAGAAGATGCTGATGATGATGATGAGGATGCCAACAATAATAATGATTTGGATGAGCTCAAAGTAAAAGCCTCTCCAGTTACAAATGACAGAGAGGATGAGTTTGTTCCCTCAGATAGTTTAGAAAAAGATGAATATGACTTCTCCCCGGCCAAATCAAAGCCATCTCCAGAGTAAGTACTGTAACTCAGGAGTATTTCTTTACTAATATTCTTTTGAATGCAGAAGTATCCGAAAAAAGCGAGAAACATCAAGCTGTTATTACTCTACATGTACCATGTAAAATTAAAATTTATACATTTCTGGGGAGGAATGAAACTGTATGTTATCTCAGCCTTGCAATGGATGTATGCAGAGGTAAACATGACTTACCAAATTCCGGTACACTGCCAGTGATACTATCTGTTAAACTGCATTTTGTAAGATTCTCCATTTTCCATCTTGTGCCAGTCTGGTATACAGAAGTATTGGGAAAAAAAAAAAAAAAAAAGGAATTCTGTTAATTTTAGATGCCTGAAGTTCATGACTGAATGGTGATTTTAGGGGTTTGGCTGCTGCAGACATATACAAAAATGCTAGAAATGCTTTGTGCTAAATCAGGAATTTAATCTCATATGGATATTATAATGTCTACATATTTTGGTATGTAGTTAATGCAGCTCATAATTTCTTTTTCCGGTTTGGAAGTAGAAAAATGTCTCAAGACAAGAAAAATCAAGATTTTGGGAACATCTTCTCTTTTCCATCTTACTCTCAGAAGACAGATGATGGTGAGCTTGTTTTCACTGTCTGTTTATCTTATAGCAACTGTTATGGAATGTATTAGGGTGTTTATGTGGTATACACAAACTTCACGTAGTAGTAGTAGAAGGATGTCCAGATTTATAATGCGGAAAGGGAAAGGAGGCTCTGATCCTTAAGAGGAACAAAGCTTGTATCATAGATAAGAAAGTCACAGTATATCCATAGCCTTGCTGTAGTATCAGAAGCACTTTTTTGAGATTAATTTTGACTGTAACTAATATTGATTATTTAAAATATGCAGTGAACAACTGTTATTCTAAACACACTCTGTGGTTGTAGATGTAACAAAATTGGACAGTGATGAAGAGGATTCTGCTCCTGTTTTCTCATCATCTTTTACCCCAAAACAAACAGAGAAAATTCCAAGTAAAACAGTAGCTGCTAAAAAGGGTATGTATAGGATTGTCCTGTAAGCCAATCTATTTATTTGAAACTCATCTCCTCCACCTTTGCATTGTCTTTTCACATCTTCAAAGTGGGAACTGCATTCGTTTATTTTGAACTTGGTGAAAACCACCATAGGGTGTGAACTTCTTCCGGCCCCTTTATGACACTAATTTCTGTCTTTCCACTAGCTACTGTAGTGTCAAAACTTAATACTTTCCATGTATGGAGTTGGTGTTCAGCCTTTGATTAGTTTAACTAATGGGAGCTTTTTACCCTCAGGGAATAAGTGACATAAGATGACCTTGGGATTGAAGATAGTCTTCTGTAATAGATCTAACCTTACTTACTTTAAAAGGAAGGAGACCCAAGTGCAAAGGAGGAATCCACAAGAAGTATTTATGTCCTAAGTAGATGTTGTGGGTTAACACCAACCGGCAACTAAGCACCACCCAGTTGCTCACTGGATCCCCCTGAGTGGCATGGGGGAGAGAATTGGAAGAGTAAAAGTGAGAAAACTCATGGGTTGATAAAGACAGTTTAATAGGTAAAGCAAAAGCTGCTCATGAAAGCAAAGCGAAACAAGGAATTCATTCACTGCTTCCCACGGGCAGGTAGGTGTGCAGCTGTCTCCAGGAAAGCAGGGCTCCATCACATGTAAGGATTATTTAGGAAGACAAAATGGCATAACTCCAAATGTCCACCCTTCCTTCTTCTCCCAGCTTTATATTGCTGAGCATGACATCATATGGTGTGGAATATCCCTTTGGTCCATTGGGGTCAGCTGTCCCAGCCGTGTCCCCTCCCAACTTCTTGCACACCCTCAGCCTGCTTGCAGCTGGGGAGGTGTGAGAAGCAGAAAAGGCCTTGACTCTGTGTAAGCACTGATCAACAATAACAAAAACATCCCTGTATTATCAACACTGTTTTCAGCATAAATCAAAAACATAGCCTCATACTAGCTACTGTGAAGAAAATTAGCTTTATCCAAGCCAAAAACAGCACAGCAGGCCATCACAGTAAGTTCCACTTGGCACAGTGTTTCTTCTTGAAATGGAGGATGAAAGGCTCTCTTCAAACCACAGAGGTGGTTTTTCAATTATTAGTCAGGCTTTTAGAACTGTCATCTTGCAGGATCTTACATTGTGAATTAAGGACAATTACAAGAAGAGCATGTTTATTATTTGGATTTGTTTCTGTGATTGTGCTTGGGTATTTGTAGGAATAAGGGTTTTTTTTGCCCTGTCTACCTTGCGGAATATTGGTTTATCAGCTGTTAGTGCTGCTTCTAAGAGAAAGACTTGCACTTGTTTCTAAATGTGTGCTAGAGATTATGCTACACACTTGCCATAATTAATGGTGAAAATAATGCTTTTTCTTACCTAGTAGTAGTTTAAATAGGTTATAGAATACAATTCTTAGCACATGATGGATTGGGGATTTTGTTGCCTTTCTTCCTGTATATCTTTCAGATAACTCCTATTTTTCTTGCTGCTCAATCTTCTGTCCTCCAAAACTTTTTTTTTCCTGTGATACTGTGGCCTTTGGTTTTTAAAACTTCTTTTGACCAACTTGCTGCTGAATTTAATGTATTAATTCTTCACAAAAAAAGAGATCTCAAGGAAATCTGCAAGAAAGCAGCCAGTTACAATGGTTAACTTACTCTCTTAAAAATGAGAAAAAAATATCTTGTGTTATATATTAGATACCAGTGAATTGCAGCATCTTTTCATACTCTCCCCCATTGTTTCCTTATTTGTAATCTCTTTCTTGCTGCATTGTGTCCAATCTAATTTGTAAACTGTTTGAATCAGCGAATGTCTGCACACTTCTCAAACACTTTCAGCTAGGAAAGTTCTATAATACAATAAATGAAGATTGTTTACAAAAATCACTGATCTCTAATAAATAGTCTTTTATGTTAAACGTCTGTACTGCAGTAAATATGAGAATTGTGTATGCAGTAGCTAGGCTTGGATGCAATTTAACATTCAATATTTCTCCCTCTGTTTTTTGAAGGCCTGGATGTGACAAGTTGTCATTAACCTACCTTGAAACCTTAAAATACAGCTGTGATCTGAGTTTCTGATTAACCTTTACACTCACAAAATAGGTATAAACAGGCTCTCTTTCAAGCAAAAGTTAAATGTTTGCCTTCAGAGTAGCCTTAGGGACACAAGTATCCCTCTCAGTGCATGACAATGTGACAGGTTGCTTTCACAAGTTTTCCTCTCTTCTCCTTTGCCCAGGTTAGACATGACTACAATTCCATGATCACAGTTTGACAGTGCAGTGATAACCTAGCATGCTTAGTTCATTGATCATCTGGTATCCTTTTAGTAGTCTCCTTGATTCTAAGTCCATCTTCATGCTGTGTATCAGCAGCCCTTTCAAAACCTGTTTTCTGGTATTGCAATATTCTATTCACTCTCACACTGGGAATACCTGTTGTGCGGCTGAAACTATCGTTCCAGAGTTTGATTTTCTGTGACTTCAGAGCTTGGATTTGTAAAGATAGAATGCTGAAACTGAAGAACCATTTGTTGTGCCTTGCTGTCTGTACAGCCACATTCCCTTTTCAATGAGAATAAATAAAAGAATAGGTATGAGTTCAGCTTCTTTTCAGACTTTGATTGATTTGAGATGAAATCTCTTGACCTCTGATGTTCACTACAGAGGATCAAGACATTGCTGAGCTTGCTTCTTCCTATGCACTATTCCAGAGATCTGTGGTTCTAGTGCTTTACAGTAAGCCTACGGGAAATCTGAAAAGTAGTCTTACTCTTTGATTATAAGCAGCTGCTCACCTTGAACAGCCCAGCTGTTCTGATTCTAGCAGTGAGACATACCCTCTGCATCAGCTGTAGAACTGATCCCATTTCTGGACTTTCTACTGAAAACTTGGGCTTCTTGAGAGCCTGTGTACATTGACCCCACTGGAGACTTCAATTTCATGTCATACCTAGTGGAGAGCTTGATTGTGCTGACTGTGGTCTAGTTGCTGTCAGAGATCCTTCCCACTTGTGCAGGCATTAGGTATACAATCAAAAGCAGTGGTTCAGAATCCCACTAGAGTTAGTACAGAGGGAGATGCGTGTTCTGGAAGCCATGGACACTTACTTTAGCCGTCAGATAACGACGAAGTTTGCTGTCCTGTGGACTTGGTGCAGGCAGACTTCACAGGAGTTGACCAGTGATGACAGGCTCTGTTTCAAGGGAAGACCAAGTCTAGTGTTTGTGGCAGTGTGCCATCCTTTCATTCCCCAGTTATTTCCTTCTCCCCAGTTCTTTGTTTGTCAGTGAGAAGTCTGCCCCTTTTCTAACATCAGTTAACAAACTCGAGGACTCAGGGCTAGCTGAAGATAGTTACATCTCGTGGTGTATGTGCTGGGTAGTACTTGTCAATGGAGCATACCTGGCTTTTGTTTGCTATGCAGATTTCACATTAGCAGCATGAGGAACTGTGCAAGGTACAACTACCTGTCCAAAACATACACAATGCTGTAAGAGGACATCTAAACCTCAGCTCCTGATCTTGAGTGTCACCTAAATCTAAAATGGATCCCTTCTACTAAGGTTCTGTTGCTCACAATTTCTGCCTGTCATCTTCAAGTTGATGAAACTTCTGAATGTTTCCCTTCCCTGCCCCCTAGTCTCTTTCTTATGCTGGAAAAGCTATTTCCTGTAGGACGACTTCATTGCCTTATGGGACCTAAAGTCACATACCGTCAGGTAACATTGCCCCCTCCGTTACTGATAACTACCTACTTTCAGTTATGCTTATAGGAAGTGTTCCTTCTCCTTTCAGTTGCTGTTTATTTTTTTCAGGCTTAGTGGTAGGTCTTTGTGGCTTAGTTTTACTGTATGCTAATACAGCTGGTTTTTCCCACTTCAGATATCTAGAGACACATATTTCAAGTTGCTTTCAAATATGGTTCTTGACTTCCATCCTAGGAATTGTTGCATCCCTCCCCAAGTCTTATCTGAAATGTTGCCATGGCCAACACCGAAAAAAACATCTGTGATGCCAAAGAAGGCTTTATTTTTTGTGTTGTCGGGTCTCGATGCTTGGACTGCCCAGTAGGTATTATCACAAAAAGCTGGAAAGGCGTGAATGTCTTTGTGCATTGACTCTCCAGTGGGTAGCAGTTGAAGGCATCATAGCCAAACAGTTTGTGGAGACACTCAACACATTCCCCTAGTGATACCATAATTGAAAGCTTGAATTCTCACAGATTTCCACATTCCTGGTAGCTGGAGTGGTTTAATGTTGTGATGGGTTTGCCCTTGGCTGGGGGACAACTCACACACACTTGTTCACCCAATCTCCCCCCCTTCCTGAGGATAGGGGAGAGCATTAAAGGGGTAAAGGGAAAAAAACACTCATGGGTTGAGATAAGAACAATTTACTAACTAAACTACAATAATATTGAAAATAATACTATATACAAATATACAAATGAGTGATACACAGTGATACTGCCCCCCTACCTGATGACCAAGGCTCAGCCTGTTCCCGGCTAACGATCCTGGAGCAGGGAGAGTCCTGAAACCACACTCATAGAACGGAGATGACAGTCTGAGCGTCCCAGACCGAGAACTGACTGGGGTGGGGGGGAGGGGAAAGCCTTGGGAGAGGGACCATCTGGTGCAAGATGACCCGGAGCAAAAGAG